GGCGCCTGTGGTCCCAGCTACTTGGGAGGCGGGAGGCAGGAGACTCGCTTGAGCCCAGGAGTTGGAGGTTGCTGTGAGCTGTGAAGCTACAGCACTCTACCCAGGGAGATAGCTTGAGGCTCTGTCTCAAAAAAAAAATAAAATCACTGCTCTAGGAACTCAGAGCAAAGTATATCCCCATTTTGGAAGAATAAAATCTACATCCCCTAATAAGTGTTCCATTTTTTAGAAATCACATCTTAAAATAACCAGTTAAATATTTGTGCTAAATTGAAAGGTCTTCCTTAAATTCTAGCAGTGAGTGAAAAGCCTTTTAATCCCGGAAGTAGCCAAAGGAACTGAGTCACGTGAAACACTGAAGTGTCCTCGTTTGTTTCCTATTCTCATTCCCCCAGGGTTCACTTGTCATTTTAAAGGATAACTTATTTTTCTGTCTTTTTCCGTCCTGTAAAGGCAGAAACCTGTGGGTTCTTGTTGTGGGGCGCTCTCCAAAGGCCCACAGAGTCGGGATCCCGGAGTTCAAGTATGTGGCCAACATGCATGGCGATGAGGTACGTAGGTGGCGGGGATTTCTGAGGTGTCCCCAGAAGCATCCCCTCGGGTCTCCTGAACTCTGTCTGTGGACGTGCTGAGAATGAGGCAGAGAAGCTTCCAGCAGGCATGTCAGCAAAGAGGCCCCGGAGGTCTCCCTGCCTGGCCTCCTGGGAGAATTTAACTAGTCAGGATCCAACAACCGCCACAGCCCCTTGGCTGCACACGGTGCCCTGTGCGAGCAATTTGAGCTTTTTGGTGTATTTGGGGCGTCCAAGCTCTGAACTCCTGCCAGCTCATCTCTGTACTCCCTCCTGGGTTGATTTTTCCTGCCTCCTGGTCAGCATGAAGGTGACCAGCAAAGGAGCTAAGATCCCAAAAGCTAACCAAACTCCTAATATCTGGCTTTTTTGAATGTTTTCTCACTTTCTCTTAATCCAAAGCTCGATGTTTTCAGTGTTCCAGTGTAGACGCTCACAGGGAGGGTTCTCCCCTACACACTATGCAAGAAACTCTTAAACTCCTGACTTGTGATCTTGCCTCTTCTCCAGCTTGTGGAGATAGGCTATCTTGATGTTATGTTTTGCAAAATACCCTCTACCAGTCTTACCTACCCAACCCTTCTTGCCAGGCAGGTGAAGATGTGCACCTCCATTCCTCCCTTCCTTCCTTGGGGGGTTTTCAGGACATGGCAACTGCAGCACTTTTGTCTATCAGGACCCCACACATCGGGGCAATCAGATTGCTCCCAGCTGTCACAGTGAGGGATGCTGGCATAGGGAACTGGGCGATACCCTATAAAACACCCTTCACTGTAAGGAATTTCAGAGTCAATGCACATTCCGATAAGTACAACCTGCTGACAGGTTGCACACTTCTGAGTGTGCAGCGGCCGGGTGGCATGCTGTAGGCAGTGCTAGGGACCCTGTGCTGCCTGGCCCTTCCCAGGTAGGAACTAGACCTGCCCTCTATGACACACACACCTGCCCTGCCCAGCACGCTGCCCAACCTGTCCTACAGAGAGGGCAAATCTTGCAGGGGTAGCAAAGATGCAAGCACCTTCCTCTGAGAGAAAGCAGGTCTTTGAACCCAGTTACTGGGTGGGTGGAAATTCAATCTGTGACTTTTCAGCTTAATGGGCTGTTCCTTTAAAAGACTACCTGGCTGGGAGTAAGACCAAAGTTGCTTTTAAGAAAACAACTATCCCAAAAGCAGCCCGGACTCCCTTTTGCTATCTAGTCTGTTGATCGAAGTGTCTTGGAATCCGTTTCTAATAAGAAACATATGGCACTCATTGTCTTTGGGAGTGTGTTTACTGAACTCCAGGCTTTTCAGTGGCCTGTTGCTCAGAAATTAGTCCTCAGCACTGAAGCCTCCAGGGAGAAGCCAAGAGCGCTTTCCTTCACCTACCCACGAGTCCGCTCTTCTCTCAGGCACCTTCCCTGGTTCCTGGTGCCCTGTTCTCTGGGCAGTCGGTGTGCCCGCCAGGTCTGTCTGCTCTCATTCCTGAAGAATGCTGAGGCCTGAGACTGGTGGGTGGGGGCGTGTGCCTGTGCATTCGGGGGTGGGGTCTGAAGTGCTGCTACCCCTTCTGTGTCCCAGCTGGTGGCAGTGTCTGGAGCTCTACGAGGTGATTAAGAAATGTACTATTCTGAGTGCGAGCTCTTCCCTATTGTGCACTCCCAGTGCCACCAGGAGACAGTGATGGCCTCACTCAGGAGCAGAGAAGTCACTCTGAGAGCAGGGTTTAGCCACCATCTTCTTCCTCCCTCGTGTTTTGAAATCAAAAGCATTTTCAAGAACTTGCTGTTAAAAAAAAACACAGATACTTGCCTGGCAGGGGAGATACCGGGATCACGGAGGTGGTTTTCCTTCGCCAGGCTTGTGCATCACACTCCAGATGTGCTGACCCCTACGATTTCCCCAAATGTGGGAAACTTGACTGTATAATTTGTGGTAGTGGGGAACTGCGTTTACACTCTCCCCAGCATTAAAATAAGTAAACAGATAATGTTTTAGGGCAGTGGTTCTTAAGTTCTCTGAATGTACTCTTTGGTGTTCTGGTAGGAACTTGACCTCAGATCTCAGGGTCTTCTAAGAGTTTGTGGACCTCATGCAGAGATCCCAGCAGGGAGCCCCTACACACTGGGGGGCATGGCAGGTGGGATTAATTGCTAGATATATTTTACATGTTTTGAAATTGAAAGCGTTTTCAAGAACCCCCTATTAAAAAGAAACACAGTCTCTCTCACTTTTTCTCCTGCTCGAGAGGGACTGACTTCCAACTCTCTTTGGAAGTGCTCTGAACTTTCTCTTTGTTCTTCCTAAATAAAATCTCTCTTTGTTACCCTGGAGGGAAAAAAAAACACAAATACTTAGCAAGCAGGGGAGATACCAAGATCATGAAGGTAGTTTTCCCACAGCGAGGAGGTATAATGGATGTACATAAAGTACATTCAGAGAAGCTTAAGAACCACTGCTGTAAAATGTTATCTGCATTTTTATTTGTTTATTTTTTTAATGCCAGGGGAAGAGCATGAATGCAGACCCCACAACTATAGAAATGTGTGTGTGTATTAGAGACTGGGTCTCACTATGTTTCCCAGTCAGTCTGGCCTCAAATTCCTGGGTTCAAGTGATCCTCCTGCCTCAGCCTCCTAAGTAGCTGGGACCATCACGCCCATCTTGCCCACACTATCTTTGAGGCATTTGCTCTCCCCGTCCCCCCCCACCACATTTGTGTGTTCCCTACCCTGGGCTGGATGGCAGTGAGCGCCAGCTGCGTCAGGACAGCCCAGCCTGGCTGCAGTAGCTGCTGGGTCCTCCTTCCAGTTTCATTTCACCTCTTCATGCCTTATTTTAGAATTAGGCTTTTTTTTAATTAGAAATTATCTGTTATTTTAACAACATCAATGCATGTGTATCTTGAAAAAAATAATAAACAAAAAAATTATATACTGACCTTCCAAAACTTAGTCCTGTTGATTCATTATTACTTATCCGTCCAGATGTTTGTGTGTGTGCACTTTCCCCAAAGGAAACTGTGCGATTTTGATATTTGTAAAGTTAATACCAGCTATTTTTTGTATCAATAAATGTTTATCCTGTCTTCATTCTCCACTCTCTGATTTCCCCAAATTGTCCTTCAAGCTGTCCCTAAAATGTCCCTGAAACTGTACAAATTAGGACTCAGTGTACAGCATAGCATTTGGTTGGTAAGTTGGATACTTTGGATCTCTTTTAATCTAGCATTTAGAGTTCATTGCTCGGGAGGCTGAGGCAGGAGGATGGCTTGAGCCCAGGAATTTGAGGTTGCCGTGAACTGTGATGACACCACAGCACTGTAGCCTGGGCAACAGACCAAGACCATCTCAAAATATATATATATTTTATATATATATGTGTGTGTGTGTGTGTATATATAATGTACATACATATGTATACATTTTCTTTTTCATGAGTCTAAACTTAACGAGACACTTGGTATTGCTGCTGGGAGATGTTCCACATTCTGGACTTTTTATTTGCTTCCTGACTTCATTGAGCTCGTGCGTCAAGTCCTGTCTCTACTTCACACTGGAAGTTAGATCTGAAAGGCTTGTTGGATTGAGGTGAAACACGTTTGGCTAATGCACATCTTAAGAGTTGTGAAGATAAGTTAGTTGGACTGATGCTGGGGGTCTAGGCCTGTTCGCCTGACTCCACTCAGGAATGCAAAAAGCAAATGGGAGCAAACTCAGCCTGCCGTTGGCAGGTGAATATCGTTGCTTATTTGTGCAAACTTCACCAATCCATTTATTTTCACAAAGATCAGATTGTTCTACTGGGGTGTCACAGCCCACATCGTAGGTATTTTTAGTAACTTTGCCAGTGGTGCCCCTCCTTCCCTGACACTGACTCCCTCTGCCACGTGGATCAAGGTACATAGCCTTCTATACAGGACTTTATGAGAAAATAAGTAATAACAATAGCTGACATTTATGGAGCCTTGACTACACCACATGCTTTGATCAGCTCTGCAGAATGCACGTTTATTAGTTCCATGTCCCAGGAAGGGAGTCCGGGGCTGTGTTTAATCACCAGCTTGCGGAATCTGGAGCCTAGGCCCTGGGCCTCACTTCGGCAGTTCCTTCAGGGAGGAACTAGAGCTGTCGTACCAACCTAGAGTTAACCCAGGTCAAAGAGTCTTTCCTACAACATTTAAAAGCATCCAATAGAAGAGAGGCACAGGTTGAGGATATGAGATGTTCCTGGTTTCAGAGGGGGTCCCCACTGTAAAACGCTGATTTTTAGATTTTCCGTTGCAGTTTACTACAAAGTAAAGCTACAGTTCAGTAGCAGAATGAGGAGACGGGAAAGGGTAAGGGGGACTCACGTCCCACCTCAAACAAGCCGAGCACCTGTGTAGTAAGGGTATGTGTGAATCAGCCCTTCCAATTAAAAAAAAAAGTGATTAAACACCAGGTGTGTCCAGTGCTGCTCCAGTGAATTGAGCCGGGGCTTGTACAGTTCAGTGGGCCAGGAGTGCGAGTGAGCAAGCACCTGTCTGCACTGGGAGACACCTACCAGCCTCATTAAAGAGAGGAAGCAAGAACCTCAGAGACGGTATTCCCATGCTGTTTTGAAAACAGAACAGGTGACAAAGTCTCACTGTGAGTGCTTGGTCTATGGGCTTGCCAGGTTATTCCACAACACTCAAGGAGAAAGCAAGAGCAAGAAGAAGACAGGGACAGATGGGTGACTTGCCGATATTTACTCCAGTGTTGCTATGTGCGTAAGGAGCTAGGGACCCAGAGTTTTAAGCTAACCCTGTAACAGCCAAAGTATAGGCCCGAGACGGAGTTCAAATCCAGCTCCCCTTGGTCTCAGGGCCCGCAGATTCATCACTGCCCTGTGGGGTGGGCATTCAGAGTGTTTAGCTGAATTGCAATCCTGTTTCTTTGGGGGCGGGGGGCGGGGGGTTAGAAATGTTTTGAAAGTCTGTTTCTTTTTTTTTGCAATTTTTGGCCAGGGCTGGGTTTGAACCCACCACCTCCAGCATATGGGGCAGGGGCCCTAGTCCTTTGAGCCACAGGCGCCACCCCTGTTTCTTAAATGTCAACAAATTCTACTGTGGTAGTTTCTTTGGGTAAAGACTTTGTAGAAATCCACACCATATTTAGAATGTTACATTTGGTCCATTGGTTTATAGTTCATTATATTCCATAAAGGATTCTATAAAGGAAACCATACTCTTCAACCTAAAAACAGAAGGTAGAGGATAAATGATTTTCACAAACCTTCCAGGCACAAAAGGCAATTTATGAGATATGGTTTTTTGGTTTTGCTTTTTTTTTTTTTTTTTTGGCTAGCATCAGGTTTGAACCCACCACCTCTGGTATATGGAGCCAGCACCCTACTTCTTGAGCCACAGGCACTGCCCTA